TCTTATGTAGACTATTCATAGTCCAGGAACACATGTCATCAGTTGGCAACTAATTGGCTCATATGGGATTATTAAGCAAGAAACGTGCTGGCTCTTAATCTGAGTTGAGTCTGATATACATGTGATTGTTTTTCCTGTAATATTCCCTGCAGGTTCTTGTGCCAGTTGCTAATGGTTCAGAGGAAATTGAAGCTCTTAATTTAATAGACGTCTTGCGTAGAGCAGGCGCAAATGTTACAGTTGCGTCAGTTGAGGATACCCTGCAAATCGTGACCCGGCGTCACAAGTTTAATCTGATAGCTGACATGATGTTGGACGAAGCTGCTAAAATGGAATTTGATCTGATTGTCATGCCGGTACATAACTGTTGAGCTATTCATTTATTTGTCTAGTGGTATTCTTAAGATCACTTACACTGGCGTCTATTGTATCTAGGGCGGTCTGTCGGGTGCTCAAAAGTTTGCTAGTACAGACAAACTTGTTGATTTACTAAAGAAGCAGGCAGGATCTGGTAAAGCCTATGGTGCAATATGTGCTTCCCCAGCTCATGTCCTCGAGCCCCACGGTTTACTGAAGGTACCGTGATGACAAATATGCACATCATGTGTGTTAAAAATCATTATGCTCCTACGGCATCTTTGTTTCATCTAGAGATAGCAGTAAAGACACCGCTCCCAAATATTGGAGAAAACATTTTATAACTTTTGGGCTGATCTAACTTGGGATGATTTTCCATCCTTGCAGGGGAAGAAGGCGACGGCGTTTCCACCCATGGCGCACTTGCTTACTGATCGGAGCCTATGTGAGAACAGGGTTGTGATTGACGGTAATCTTATCACTAGCAGAGCCCCAGGGACTGCGACGGAGTTCGCCCTGGCCATTGTTGAGAAGCTATTTGGTCGAGAGAAAGCGGTCAGTGTAGCTAAGGAGTTTGTTTTTATGTGATCACAACCTGAGTTGGTGCTGTGTGCAGTGCAAAGTGCAAAACTGTGGATAACCACACCTCTGTGTACATAATGCCCTGCACTGGTAGGAACTGCTTGTGCATCTGATGGAACTATAGAAGCATACCTTAAACAGAGAGGTGAATGTACACCATAATTTCCATGTACATACGGAGTTATCATCTTAGCTTCGTCGAGGAACTGAGAAACTGCAGTAAGTCATACTATCAATTGTTAATAAGCTGTTCGGTCAAGTGAATCCATTCTCATCGCCCTTGTCGTTGATGTGGTGGTCTACATATCGTAGGCCTTGTTACTAAAACGTTGCTGTTTTGCGGTGCATTGTTTGCGGTCATCTGTTCTTAACACCTGTGTACTTGTGACTCTAGTTCATCTGTTTGTTTAACCTTGTGACTTCTGATTGAGTGCTAAAAAGATCTGTGCCCGGTATCTTTCATGAAATAGCCCCATTGCCAGGGCCTCCCTTTTTAGCACTGAACACGACGTTCGAGAAAATACGAATGATGTGTATTTTTTAGCCTAAGGAGGTACTCTCTCCATTCACAAATATAAGATGTTTTGTATATTTCAATATAGCTTATATCCGGACTGAAATGAGTGAATAAACATGCTAAAACATGTCTATATACATCTGATTCGGAAAGAAGTTGGAACATCTTATATCTGTGAATAGAGGAGCAGCACTTTTGGTGAAGTGCTTTTGTGCTTTTGCTGTGGTGCCCTTTGCATATCCTAAGGTTGGGTTGTGTGTGCCATCCTGCGGAAATGATAGATGACAACGACAGCACAAATGGTTCATTAGCTGCTTCCACAACATTCTCAAGTATTGTAGTCACTTTAAGGCCAAAAGGAAAGACATTTTCACTAATATAAATTTCACTAGAAAAGGAAGGTGGGTGCTACACTCCTTCTAAATGTACCAGTGAAGACAAGTTGACACCACGACAGCAATGCTTAAAATTAAATTCTGAAACACATGGTTCTAAAAGGGCCAGGTGTTCAAGATTATCCCTCAAGGAACTATTAGCTAGTCCCTGGTGCTGTCAGCTTTGAGCTGCCCAGCCAATCACTTTTGCTTCCTTCTGGTACAAGTCCATCTATAGAAGATGACAAGCAACACCTTACTGTTCCAGTGATCCAATCACTAATGTACGTGCTCCTACAGGTGCCAGTTCCCAAGAACAAACCTCCAGTAAAGAACTCGTCAGAGATGGTGATAGAATTCATGTACTCCCTCTCTAAACTAATATAAATAGTGATCTAAACACTTGTATATTAGTTTACAGAGGGAGTACCAATAGTTAGCCACATTTTACACCACCCGAATTGCACGGTGGCGGCAGTGGACGTCGTCGACGGTGTGCGGCAGTGAAGAAGGGGAACACGGGAGGAAGGAGGCGGTCACACCGTTAGGCGTACCATGCGCAATCGTCGCGCTGTAGCACTTCCCTTTGATAATCCATGCCAAGCAAGGTTCATGCACCTGGTGAGACATGTTGTAGTACCCTGTAATTCTACAACCACACATCCTGATTTTATGTACTACTACTAGGTCAAACAAAAAGAAATGGGTTGGGTCATCTCTTAAGAACATCTTTGCTTGTTTAGTGGATGAGGGGACTCGATTTTCCAAGCCAAACATCTTGTCACGAATTATTATAGGCTTATGAGGACGACTTGAGAATCAGAATGTCAAGCTGAACAGCTGATAACATAGGTCACTTATTAGAGGCTACAGCCAAGGAAAAGGGTTGAAGTGGCAACATCAACAAGTCCAGAGCCGGGTTGGCCGGCAAGATCATCACAAAACAAAATTGCAAGGCGTATAGAAAACATGTTCAATTGGTTGAACAACCCAAGCAATACATGCCCATTCACTTTATGTATACTATCCTATCAACTAGATATGTTATTCAAAAGGGCAATTGGAGGATAAAGAAGTTTCAAGATATGAAGATATGCATATAAGATATAAGATGTTGTTGTACTGCAAACCAACAAGGGTAGCTTACAGCATCAAATGCCTCGTCACCAAGGTTGTGAGAATTGTTGATTACCTGAATTTTTCCGGTAGAGTTGCAAATCATAGAATCTACGTGTAATCTAGGGTGGGAAGTTGAAGGATGGATATGGCGTCGAATGGACCGGCCAGTCAATCTAGGGTAATATAAAAACGTAGATGTAATGTTGCTATCACCAGTTAAATTTGACGATTGAGGCACTGAATAGTCGCTTCTACCTAATATATGCAGCCATGTGCTTATTGAATCTTGCTGATGCAAAATTTGGTGGCAAAAGTCATGCTTGCAGTGGAAAAAGTTACTGCTCTTCTTGTTTTATCTCAAGATTTGTTGGACCTTGTAAACTTCGATTGTATATTAATAACTAATGGTTGCATGCATCAACTGATGCAGAGGCCGGAGGTGTTAACCCTCTTTTTAAAAAATAAAATAAAATAGATTAGTACTCTTCATACAAAGGCAGCTTGTTTTATCTCGAGACTTGTTGAACCATGTAAACTTCGATTGTATATTCATAACTAAGGGTTGCATACATCAACTGATGCAGAGGCCGAAGGTGTTAACCCTCTTTTTTAAAATAAAATAAAATAGATTAGTACTCTTCATACAAAGGCAGCCATCACTAGGGCTTCTGTTGCCTCCCGGCGTGTTGCCGCCGACCTGCCTCATCTCTTATGGCCTTAGGGACATGGAGATGCGGTGGATCCCAGACTTTGCCGGCGGGAGAGCTTCGTTTTTAGCCGTTTTTTAGAGTTTTGATAGGGTTTGTGTCCTGCTCAGGAAGGCGTGATGACGGCGGTTTCCTGAAGATGGAATAAGATTCTCCCTGCCTAGCCTCCATCCCGGTGGCGCTTCTAGCATCGTCGGAAGACGTGTGGAGACTTATCTCTGGCGAATCTTGCGGGATTCAGTCAGCGTTTGTTTTCGATGGATCCGGTGTTCGTTCGTCTATGTTCGTGTGTTTATAGGTTGTTGTTCTGATGCGCTGGTACCCTCGGTCCTTAGCACGACGACTTCCCGGCTGCCTACTACAACAAGGTTTGCCCAGCTTTGGTGATGAAGGGGCAATGACGGTGACGCGCCTTCGGCTCGCTCGAGTGCTTGTAGTCGTCGCCACGTGGTCTAAAAACCTGGATGTAATTTTTACTTTTGATGTTTTTGGACTACCGTGACAGTTGATAATTAGATTGAAAGTTTTCTCAAAAAAAAAGAGATTAACACTCTTCATTTTCATGATGATACCAGTGAAGTTGTACAGAAATCCTGGTGGCACCATCTGGAGCGCCAGGACAAGAAAATTTCTACCCTAACAAAGAGCCAGGTCGCCAAGTAAGCAACCAGAAAACAAATCCAACAAGCAAAGCGTAGAATTTGCACAAGACGTCCTTATCCTGTGTGTCAAAATTTAGAAAACAACAACGAATCAGACGTATACACATAACAAGCTCTCCATCCTTGAAAAACAACAGGTGTTCTTCTTCTTCCTCCAAGCTCCACAGCATCCCTAGAAAAGAAACACTCTTCTTCTCCTTCCTTCCTCTCCACGCAGAATTTTCGGAGGAAAAAGAAACCCCAGTCCAAACGGCCTATCGCCAATAAACTGAGAGGAAACGCGGATACATATTGCTTCCACCTGCGTGAGAAGAGAGGATGATCCCGTTCATACAGCAGAGGAGTTCCAGTTCCAAGTTGATCTAGCCGTGCTGGCCGGCCCTCGAGCGGAAGCCCATCGATGGCGATGATGGAAGCGCACGGCGGCACGCCGAGGACCGACGCCGGCGGGAGCAGGGTGGAGTCCGAGCAGAGGAAGCTGCGGCGCGTCGAGCTCCCCTCGTGGTCCTGCCCTCCCAACCGGCCTCCGGGCACCTGAGCCTGCTCTGTGTTCTTGCCTTCTGCTTACTCCTCTCTCTCCATTTGCCTCTTTGATTCTTGTTCCTGCGACTCGTAGTCTGAGGGAGCAAGCTACGATCCTTGCGCCCTTCTCCTTCTCGTGTCTGATCCTGTGCCCTCCTACGGCATCCACGACACGGCTCTGCTTTTCCTGTGATCTTGTTGGAAGCTTTGCTCCCAAGGGTCTCGCGCGCCATTTCTGAGGCGATTGACCTTGGGAGAAGGTCTTTGACCTGTCTGGACCACCGTGTTCTTGGGAGCCAGGCCGTCGGTCTCGCCGTTGTTTCCTTCCTGTTGGCCTCCGTTGTCTGCGCTCCCAGTTGCAGGTCAACATAATCTTGGGAAACGGAGGTGTCTGTGCTTCTCCTCTCTTGTCGTTGTCGTGAAGATCTGCGACATTCGGGACAAGAAAGTGTGTTTCGTTCTTGGCCCTGGTGCCTGTAAAAATCCTTGTTTCGCAGGCGTCGATCGAGCTTGTCTCCCCCGTGGCAGTTCAAGAAACCATACAGTGACCCCCGGCCGGCACTTCACCTGCATGGTTTCTCTGTAGCTGCAGCTTCATCCAGCACGCTCTCGATCCTACGTCCTTTGGCCTTGTGGGACGAGATGAACTCGGGCCCCTTCAGCGGCGCAGTGCGCCTCTACGAGGGGTTTTACGGTGGTTTCGGCGGCGGGCATGGGCATGGCTTCGGCCAGCAGCTGGGAGCGTCGACGTCGTCGGTCCTGCTCGACGGCGGGACGGGGGAGCCTGGCGCAGCCGCCGCCCCGGACGTGCTGAAGCGGAAGGGAGGAGGGCGGGAGGAGAAGGCGGCGACGGCCCTCAGGAGCCACAGCGAAGCGGAGCGGCGGCGGAGGGAGAGGATCAACGCGCACCTCGCCACGCTCCGGAGCATGGTCCCTTGCACCGACAAGGTGAGTGCCTTCTCCTTCTCGTTCTGTCGCTAATTTCTACTGTATATTTTTTTTCTTCGGATGCAATACGCGAATTTTGGAAGAGTCTAGGGAAAAAACAATAGTTAGTGCTCATTTGATTCAAAAGAATTTCATCAGATTTATGGAGGACTAAAATACTTAGAAATTTTTCCTACGTTGGTCGTTTTATTCATATGATTGAATTTTGTAGGAGTTTTTCCTAAGCAAATTATTTGTACTACATTTCATAGGAACTCTTAACACCCACTATGGGTTGCAATCAAACAAACTCAAATCATATAGGATTTGAATGGACATGACATTTCAATCATGTGTTTTTCTTATTCTTGCATTTTTGCGATCCTGCAAATCAGAGGCTCTTATTTGTATCTTGTGCACACAAACATTCACGTTATTTTTAGAAAATATTGTTACTAAAGCAACACGATAACAAAATGATAAACTCGGTTTGCAATAGCAGATAACAAGTTAGGCACGTAGCCAACACACATGAACACAACACTTTTTTGGAAAAAAATTAGGGGAAGGGGGTTCCTCACTTGAATTTCCATTAAAATGGGCTTAAATCCTGATGGTTTTACCACAGCAAGATAGGGGCGTCAAGCGAGAGGTACACAAAGGGAGAAGAAAGAGATAGGTGGAACTTTGTTAGTGCGGGACAAGATGGCAATCCAAGCATGTGCATCACGCCGAAGATCCACCTGCAGCCTTGCTCGCTAGAGAGCAACGTCGTCCCAGCAACACTTGAGCAAAAGGGGTAGAGAGGGCCTAAGGCCGCGAAACACCACACCATTTCGATGCTTCCACGGGTGCCAACACCACAAAAGAGTGAAGGTGGCGGAGGACGCGTCACTGGAGAGCCCACAGAAGGGACAACCAGCCGGTCCAGTACTTGGCCGCGAACGGGCAACGAAAAATCAAGTGATCAGTTGTCTCAAGAGGAGCAGAGCAAGGTGAGCAGCCGACCCAGGTGGCCTCGACGATCATCTTCCTAGAAGAGAAACATCCATGGTCGTCGTCCAAGGAAAACTCCACCTAGTACCTCTTATCCCCATGGCGATGCACATTCCACCGCCAACAAGTTATTTGCCTACGATGAAGAGTTGAGAGTCTAGAACTCCACAAAGACACCCATATGCCCATCACCTAAACCGTCTCACGAATTTTCACCTTGAGTAGGAACAACATGAAAGTATCACACGGTGAGAACCTCGAGACTAAGACATCTGGGAGAGTGAATGATGCCCATAAATGGCCCCATGGTTGGATCCTCAATTTTCGCATGAGGTTGACACTAGTCCACTCATCGAAGTTGTGTGGAAAAATCACTATAGGCGCCAAGCGTGCAAGGCAACACAGAAAAATCGGACGACCGTGCGGCTATCAGTCTGAAGAAAACCCATCGCCCTAGTGTGGAATCTGAACTTGCTTGGCAGTTGTGAACTTTCGTCGTAGACTAGGGCAGCATCCTCACTGATAGTTGTACGACTCCATGGTGGCAAGTGTCAGCGCATACGGGTCAGTCAGTCAAGCGTAGCCACGTACTCACAAATGCAACACTCGCACTTCGATCAGTCGACAAATGTTGGGATGGTGCATCGTGTGACCATATTGTCACATTCATAGCTATAACGCGGATGCCGGTGTGCCATATTGTCATATCTGGCATGTTCTGAGGATACCTTTTTACCTTCTTCCGAGGAAAACATGGTCCATTGCCTTGCGACAAATCTTATTCTATGTCTCTAATCCCTTTCTTTTTTTCTCTGTCGCTTCCTCCAGCTTGTGTTTCTATTTTTCCTTTTTGGAGGGCTTTCTTCTGATTTTCTGTTACTTTTTATTATTCTTTATTTTCATTTTTCATGCTTTAATTTTTTTTGTTAAAAACATGATGAGTTTTTAAGTCTATGAAACATTTTTTATAAAAAAAATAGGATACAGAGAATTCTCATGTATCAAATATTTTTAGAACAAAAGACTTTTTATGTGATAAAAATATTAAAGATAAATATTTCAAATATAAGAGAAGTGACGATAATTGGGCCGCCCATAGAGCCTCTCCGCACTCCGCTTCTTTGAAAGGCTTTCTAATAAGGCCCTTTTCTAATAAGGCCCTTCAAAGAAAACATTGTTTTCTTTATTTTTTTTAAAGGGCCTTATTAGAAAGCCTAATTAAACGGGGATTTCGCCCGGTTCGTTTGGGTAGCTAGGTTGGTTGGACCATGGGCTTTTGCGTAGTGATCAGACGCCGCCACGGTGCGGAGCGGCGGCCGTCCTTCAAACCGCGGCATCGCCAGCTTCCTGCTGCTACGTCTACATGCATGGTTACGTTCAGAAACCGGACCAGGCAGGCACCAAGAACCTGATCCGTCGATATATTGGCTTCTGCAGATGGACAAGGCGGCGCTGCTCGCGGAGGTGATAAACCACGTGAAGAAGCTCAAGAGCGAGGCGGCGCGGGTGGGCAAGCACTGCCCCGTCCCGTCCGGCGCCGACGAGGTCACCGTCGAGGTCGTCCAGCAGCCGCAAGCGCCACCCCACCACCGCGCCGCCTTCCTCGTCAAGGCGACGCTCAGCTGCGGCGACGGCTGCGCGGACCTCTTCGCCGACGTGAGGCGCGCGCTGCAGCCGCTCGCGCCCAGGGTCGTCGGCTCGGAGGTGACCACGCTGGGCGGCCGCGTCCGACTCACCGTGGTCATGTCGCGCGAGGGCGCCGTGACCGCGGCCTCGGTCCGCCAGGCGCTCGACTCGGTGCTCGACAGGGTCGCCGGCGCGGCCGCCGCCTTCGAGTTCTCGCCGAGGGACTCGCTCCTGGCCGGCAAACGCCGGAGGGTCTCGACGTTGGACTCCTCCAGCTCCTCTTCCTGACCTGAGACGGCCAGTTCCAATCCACAGACATTGATTCGGAGCGGACGGACACTCCGACCGTAGCACGTTTTGGTGCATGCACGCACGCACGCATGCTGGATGCAAAGATTGTACGACTTGACTTTTCATCAGTCGTGACTCGTGCGGAGATGCAAAAGCAAAGTACCGTGTGGACATTGATTGGTAGTAGTCGGTGCTTGGGTTGATTGCCTTTAATTTGTAAGAAGAATTGACATTTTCCAAGCTATTCATACTTTTGAGTGCAACTTAAATCTGTCAGTTGACATAGTTTTACCCAGCTTTCAAGCATACGAGACTCTCTCGGGATCTTTCAGAGATGAAGATTTTTCATGTATGCGCAGGATTCAGACTGAAGATGTTCATTTTTCGAAAATCAGTACAACTACTCCAAAAGAAGCGGCAGCAACATATCAAGATTGACCACATATCGACTGATTTCAACTCTGGGATCCTGCACACGAGTGGGCAGTCATGTCTCTTGCATCTGAACTGAAAACCTCGCACCGACACCTTGTTGCCACGGCAGTCCTTCTCCTACTGTTCTTTTTTTTTTTTTTTGAGGGGGAGTCCTCCTCCTACTGTTCAAGTGGGCGTTCAGGCAGGGAACAATGAATGGGCCGTACCGCAAGTCGATGACAAACCAAACCAAACCCAGCCCAAGATGGGCACATCCCTGACCCCTCATGAATTCTCGACGAACAACCCGCCCGTGCCACCAACGACGTTCGTACGTACGTACTCCTACTACGTACCCTCAGCGTAGCTACAGGCTTGCAGGTAGGTAGGTGGTGCAGTGCCGCCATGGTTAGATAGATAGATACTGCACAGGGCTCGGGGAAAGGAGGAGGAGGAGGAGGAGGAGAGACCCCCACCCCCATGTGTGGCAACAGTCGAGTCGATCTCACTCCTCACATCAACGAGAGCTGAAGAAGCTCGCCCGAGTGAGCGGGACAGGCATGACCTTGACCGTCTTCCATTGGAGGCGGGCACTGCTGAGCCCGGGCGGAGACTGTTCGCCTCTGACAGTGAGATCTGCATCGACGTGCTCCTCCCGGGTAATTAAGCCGCTTAACGTGTTCATAGCGACTTGCCCTTGTGTAGTTGTGTTCGTCAGCACGCAAACAGGCTGGACCACCGGCGGCCTCAGATTTGCTCTCGCGCGCCATTTTCCGGATGCGGCAACAGCGGATTCAGTAACAGTAAATTACTTACTATCTGGTCTAATCTCACAGTGGTTTATTCAGAGTTAATATACATATCCAAGTGAAGTATCCGACTGATTAATAAGAAATTGTGCACTAGCGTGGAAGGGAATGACCGGGAGACTAGGTTCTTTCCAGATCCCGAAGGAGCTGTGCATCTGCCTGCGGCAGGGAGGGTGGTTGATTTCAGAGCACGATTAAAGAACGGTTTGAATAGGTTAGTTTGTTCATGCAGGCTACTCCTACTCGCTACTGAGTGATGATTAATTAAGGAGCACTAACCTAACTGATCCCACATGTGCTGCCACCTCATCGAGATCCCCAGCGCTGTGTAGTAACCGTAATTTAGTGATGGAGTCACTTGGTTGGCTCAGCCTTAAGTTGACTGCCATTGCATGTTGCATGACTAGGATCTGAGTTCACTCCTCAAGTTGAAAAAGTGTGTGTGTGTGTGTAAACTGTATCAGGCATATATGAATAACTTGGCATTCAGAGCATCAGTTTCTGTATGCAAAATCGATCCGGGCTCTTCTAACAAAACGGTGCATTATAATACACCAGAGCACGTGTAGTATTATATGAAAGATCTAATGGATGAGACTAACTGGGCCTCCCGCAGGACTTAGGTGCACGCAACACGTACACGACCTTTTAATGACACATCAATCATTTGCCCAACAAGCATATGTTCCCTCGTGAACCAGCCCCTAACTTTAGATCTCTCGCACGGGAGTGAATTGCAGAAAACCACCACATTTAGGGTTAGCTTTGCGGAAAACTACCTAGTCCCTAATTATTTGCAAAACGCACCGCGGATTCGGTAAACTTATTGCAAATAGCACTGATGAGGTGATCTGGCCCGTTTGATCACTTTCTGATAAGTGGGGTCAGATTGTAAGAAGCTGATTTGGCAAAGTTTTGACATACAGGCCCCTGGATCTAAAAAGAAAAAGCAATCAGAGCCCCCTTGCTTCGACCCCGTCTGGATCGGGAGAGCCAGAGCCCCCGAGCTACCCACCCCCCGCGCCACTCCGACGACCTCGTCGTCGGCGACCACCGCTGCCCTGTCTACCATCTCCTTCCTCCTCCCCTTTCTTTTCTTCTCCACCGTTGCCTCGTCTACCATCGGCGACGGCTGGAAAGGCGAGAGGTGAGGCTGCGTTGGCCGGGATTGACGACGCAACCACGTCCCTCCGTGCGGAAAATTGTCAGCGAGGCGCAACCACGGCGCCCTGGCCCTGCCGTCCGCCGGGATGCCTCTTCCACCAGCGCGTCCTCGGCACTCGCCTGCAAACCACGTTACCGCAAAGGGCACACCGGAGCCGGCGGCCCTGCTACTTCAACACAGCAAGACATCGACGAGCTCCTCGCCCTCGATCTCTTCCGCCGGTGAGCCCCGGCTTTCCTCTGCAGAGATGCGTCGGGAAGGAAAGGGAAGGGACGAAGGGTTGCAGGGGCGGGCTCCGGGCGGCAGCGCAGGCTCAGGGACGGGCTCCCTGCGGCAGCCACCATTCCAAGATCCATCCATGGCGGACGCTGAGATGCTCCACATCGCCTACCTGGCCGCCACCGTCGACGTGCTCTCCGCCGGCAGCCTCCTCCGCTCAGTAGCCGTCCGCGCCGGCGAGGTCCACCTCACCGCGCGACGTCTCTTCGCCGAAGCCGCCGGAGCACCGGAGGCGAGCTCCAGCCCTGCGGGCTGGACATGCGATCCGTCACCGCTGCAAAAGTACCTGGCCCAGATGGGGAGGGACTCGATTGCGTTGTTTTTTAAAGATCTGTATGGGTGTGTGTGTGTGTGTGTGTGTGTGTGTGTATGTGTGTTTTTGCTAAGTTAGATCCTGACAATCTGGCCCCACTTGTCAGAAAGTGATCAAACGGGCCAGATCACCTCATCAGTGCTATTTGCAACAAGTTTACTGAATCCGCGGTGCGTTTTGCAAATAATTAGGGACTAGGTAGTTTTCCGCAAAGCTAACCCCAAATGTGATGGTTTTCTGCAATTCACTCCTTGCATGGTGGTATGGCATGGCCTAGCGGCCGGCGTAGGTAGCTCCTCATTCATACTAGCTGCTACTAGTAGTAGTAGTAGAATACCATACCAACTGATCTCATGATCTCGGTCACATGCATGTATCCACCATAATACATGTCATGTCCCGTTAAGAGCATCTCCAGCCGTTGGCTCCTCAGGAGGGGCTAAAAATCACCCCCTGGGGGCGCATCGGCGCTAAACCGCACACTGGGGACGTGATGCCCCCCAGTCGCGGTGCCCACGTTTTTTTGAAAAAGTCAAATACGGTGCAAACACGGCTCAAATTTAACGCAAACATCGGCGAGTTCGTTCAAATTTAAACATATTTTACAAAAAAAGAAAAAAACTAGCATGGGTTGCCCCCGCCGTCTCCATTGCCGCTACTCGCCGTCTACCTCACCGCTCGCCGCCCGCCGCCCGCCTTTGCAGTTCTACATGCCGAGGAGGCGGTAGAACCGCGTGTAGTCGCCACCGCCATCGTCGTCGTCGTCTCCGCCGCCGCCGTCCCTACTGCATCCCTCCCCCGGTTGGCGCGGCGGGTTGGACGGTCCGGGGGCGTCGTCGTCGTTGTCGCTGTCGAGGACCACGATGCCGTGCTCGTCCTCGCACCCACGCTTGCGGGCGGCGATCTCCTCCAAGGCCCGGGTCTGCCGGGTCATCTCCGTCCGGAGGTAGTCGTCCCGCGCCCACCGCAGGGTGTCCTCGTCGGAGAAGCCGCGCCGTGCTATCTCCTCGTACTCCGCATGGAGGCCGGGCTCCGGCTTGGGCTCGACAGGGACGAAGCGGCCGGTGGGGGGGGGGGCGGAGTCGCCGATGCGAACGCCGAAGCTGCGGGTGCGCGCGCTGACAGGCGTGTCCTGGGGCTCCGGCTTGATGGGGCGGAGGCAGGGAGAGCCCGACGAGCGGCCGGACGAGGAGGAGGACGCCCCGGGCCGCTCCATGCGCCTCGGCGTTCAGGAGCTTCCACGGCGGCGTGAGAAGGACGGGGGAGCGGGGTACTCGAGGCGCGGCGTGTTGCCGTCCTCGATGTACTTGAGGACGGCTTCCAACGTGTGGCCGGGCACGCCCCACCACCGGCGCCGGCCATCAGAGTTGAGCCTGCCGGAGGATAGGGCGCCGTTGGTGGCCTCGAGCTGCTCGGCATGACGGCGGCGGACGTAGGGCTCCCAGAGCGAGCTGTCGGGGACGTACCGTGGCCCCTCCCTCGCCGCCCGCGGCAGGGACGCGCGGATACGTGCGATCTCCGCACGCCGCGCCGCCCCAGTGGGTGGTGGTGGCACCGGCACGCCGACGGCGCTGATCCTCCAAGCCCCGGGCACCCGCATGTCCGGCGGGACCGGGTACTCGGCCTCGAAAAGGAGGCGAGCCTCG